GCTCAGCAGACAGTTAGGTTTCACTTTCAATTTCGCCCGAGAGCCTGCAGGAGTCATGGGCGGGGTGTGGAGGGAGGGTGTGTGCTCTGCCATGACGAAGTTCGGCTTAAAGACACGTCCCAGGGGCATTTCTGGTACCAAAAGGTGTTTCTGGTCCCCACCCGTCGTTTTGCTCCTCAGCATGGCTTCATAAAAATGCTGCAGGATTTCTCAAACATGCATGAATGAGTCAAAGCAAGGCTTTGGGCATGTTTTTTATGAGAGTATACCATTATAACATGATATAAAACTCAAAAAAGGTTGATTTTATATGATATTGCCCCTTTAATATGTTTGCTTAGAATGTAGTGGTTTCTTGAATTTATAGCAGGTGGCATTTTTGGTCCAGTATGCAAAAAATATTATCATGGCAATGGGTCCTTGAAATGACACAAGCAAAAATCTATTTTGTTCTAATGAGAATTTTAATAAGTAAGATAACTAAATGAGAATCATTGGAATGACAAGTTAGACATCTCCAATCTGTTTCATTACCACAAATCAAACACACCTTGTTTAGTAATTGGGACAATACAAACCTGGAAGAAATGAACAAAGGTTTTCCTTGTAGCAAAAGCAAACAGTTCAACTATTTGAAGAACTGGCGCTGGCTTTTGATAGTATGCTTTTTATTTTTTTAACAATACATTTTTTGTCTTTTTGTTCCTCCACAAAGTGGTATGTTTCCGTGGCATCAACTGCCCATCACTCCATGGTATTATTAGATCTGGCTGCTCACTTTAAGTTATAAAAGTGAAAAACAATCTGTGCGAATGARATAGGTGCTGACAGAACAGTGAAACATTAATGTGAGGCCTGGCTGCTGTGTCTCTGGAAGAAAACAGTAATAAGACTGCTTTAAGAGAGGGGAGCCTRCCTAGTGCTGATAGAAGAAGGGGATAAACCAGCCACAATTCTCAATTCATTTGACTGCACCTCATTCTGATTTATTATGACAATGCTTGTGTTTCCATGCAGCTTCTGCTTAGTTGCTGGAAAGCAAATGATCCTATTTGATTCTTGGACAACTGCAATGCACAAATAAAGCCAGTATTAAAAAAATAATAATAAAATAAACACCTTGGCTGCTTTGCTACAAATGTGTAATTTGGCAGAATTTAAATTTCTGTTGTTCTTTTAGACATCAGCGTTGCCGTTATTAATATTAATTTATTATTAATTTAGATTGCATGGAATAAATGTTTCATCAAATTAACCATTTTTCTTCTAACGTGTATCTTTCCAATGTAGTTTCACCTTGCAAAAAATGCAAATGTGTTTGTGAACAAACCCATCCATCCATCCATTTATCTGGGATCAGGTCGCAGAGGAAGCAGCCTAAGCAGAGAGACCCAGACTTCCCTGTCCCCAGCCACTTGGGCCAGCTCCTCTAGGGGAATCCCAAGGCGTCTCCAGGCCAGCTGAGAAACATAGTCCCTCCAGCATGTTCTGGATCTTCCTTTGGGTCTCCTCCCAGTGGAACGTGCCCGGAACACCTCACCAGTAAGGCGTCCAGGAAGCATTTTTTCCATCCTAACCAGATGCCTTAGCCACCTCAACTGGCTCCTCTCGACGTGGAGGAGCAGTGACTCTACTCAGAGTCCCTCCCTGAAGAACTAACATTTC